ATTTGCATTGGGGAATGCTTTGCCTGAGTTAATTGATGAGCACGTCTGGATTATTAACCATGTTATGCTTGATCATGCCATGAATTGCTTTACGCATGCTTGATGGGCAATTGGCCATGTTATGGCGATATTCTAACGTGCAGGGCTCACGTATGTGCCGAGGCGAGGTAAGGGCGCCTGTGATTGTCATGACATGTTGGATGTCGGTATTGCGTGTTTAGAATTGTTCGGAAGTACGCTTTGGCCTAAGCGAGGCTTAGGTAGTTGCTTATTGAGAAGTGTTCTCATGGTTGTATAACCAAACCATTTCAGATCAGCGACCGTGATTGATCCGGAGACGCTGCCAGGATACTACGGGGATTGAGGATAGGTCGAGTTACCCCGTCTTTTGAGTGCACCTTTTTGTAGGGGAGTTAAGCTTACCAATCACCCGATCCTTGTTGTTGTGCGGGTTCGTAGATAGTGGCCTCGTAGAAGGCTTGCAAATGTATGTGTTGTAATCGACGTTATGTTTATAAAATTGTCTTGTTTATGTGTGTTCTTTGTCTTTCTACTATCCCATTGTTTATATGTTGTACGGAGAGTTCGAGGTTGCTTTCGCATGCATTACTCGTTAGTGTTTCGATTGGGTTGGTGACAAGTCCTGGGCTGTCGCGTACATTACGACCACAAAGGGATGATCGCGCGCTCGTAGGGTTCGGGGCATGACAGTATTTGTTGGAAAAGGCATAGTTACTCTTGTTATTGCTCTTTCTCATATGGTTTGCAAAACCTCTAGATACATATTTAAGTGATCTAAGGATTTATTTAAAGCTTTGTTTATGAGCAAAGCAATTTTTTGGTGCTTTAGTGGCAATTATGCTAAAGGCATAAATGATCATAACATTTGACTTTTCTTTTGTATGTGATAGCATATAGCAAATCGTTACTAGTTGCAAATGCTGGAGACTGTTAAGCAGAGTACTATGTCGCTGTCCATGAGCAAAGCAACTTTCTTAGTGCTTTAGTATGCTAAAGCATAAATGGCCATAGTCTTCTCCATTTCTTTTGTAATTGATAGCAGATGTCATTGGTTTATAATGTCGGAGACTATCAAGTAGTACTATGCCGCCGTAGGAGAGCGATTACGATGTCAAGGGACCATAAAACAATAGGTACCAAAGAGACGAAGAAAATTGAGGCATCAGGGGGAATATGTCTATGATGGGTACCTTTATGTAGCTTGTGCTTTAGGTGATTGGTACATGAAAGGAATGAAAAGTAAGGAAGGAGGGCCACTCACTGTCGAGCGAGAGCTAATGAGCATGGATCTAACTAAAGATGATGAATCTCTCGTCATAAGGTGTAGACCTGTCAAAATGGGTATCCATTTCTTAACCTATATTTAATAGGTTGAGTTGTTATATGGATTAGTTATATTCATTAAATGGGTCATAAATGAGTTTAGAATGGTAAAGTCTACAATAATATGAGAATTAAATGAGTTCACAGCTTACTTAGATGTAACCCACTTCTATAACTCTTTCTTCACTCTCTCTTGCAATCTTACCTCAGTTTGGATATGAATTTTGTTGATTGTGTCAAATATGTAAATGTTTTAGCAATATGGGTCTCAAAAGAGACTTCAAGAGCACAATGATCCAGTTTATGTGTTGTCATACCCCAGCTCCTAAAAGTATAGTGGAAATGATATATATATATCCAATTATATATATGATAAAACAATGAGTTGGTTACAGAATTAGATTTTCTAAAACATTAACAAATACTATTTTAGACATATATCCAAAAGTTCAACTACTAAAAATTCCCTGTCGATATCGCTCTCATCATACTTGGTGCTACCTGAAGAATCTAAAAAAGATTTGAAATGAATTGAGAGAACAACCATAGCTCAGAAAGTAGTACATATCTCCTCTAAGCAAATCGAGCATCCACTATACATGTTTATAAAGCAATATCATAAACAAAATAATCCAAACTCAAGATATAATATATGTGCCAAATCAAATATAAGTTATCTCATTTCAATAGAGCTTTATACGTATCATAAGTACTCATTCAATCAACAATATCAAATCAAATATCAATGGCCATTTCCATTAATCAATCTATATCAAATCACAAATCAATTGTCCATTCTATTGATCAATCTAGTGCTCATATTTAACTACGGTCAAGCTTAACGCCTGTGAAAAAGGCGACCAAGTGACAATGTCTCTACCTATATTATCCAGTGCTTTGGCCCATAAGGATATCTTGAGAATAGTATACATACCCACAAACTCTCAATGGGTTCAGAGCACAACAACAATGAGCATCAAACACTAATCCATCATTTACAAACCATTTCAGAATTCATTTCATAACTTTTCACAACGTTTTTCATAAAACAATTCTCAAATCATTCACAAATAATCAAAAAATAATAAATATTCAACCTTATTTTATGTAATATGCTTTTCCATAACTCATAATATATTGGATGCCCATCACTTTCAAGACACGAGTTTAAAAATTCATGTAAGCGATAAGAACCAATCACTGCTAAACAAAAGCCCAACTCAAAAGTTACGTCACTCGGAAAGTTTCAAAATCCTATCAAAGAAGCATTATTCAAACATCATATTTACATGCCAACTGACTTCGGTTAAGACTCTACTAGGCAACGAATCATTTCACTATAAGTCGACAAAAGACCTCAAGGACAGCCTTGCGCGACGAATAATCTATTTGTGCTCGCGCTACAAACTTTGTCGGTCCATATTTCTCTCTACCAAACTCTGATTAAAGTGAACTTACTGTCGATTGAAAGATCTTTTGAGGTTCTAAAGGACCCGAAACTTCACCGACCCAAAATCTAGCCAATACTAAACGAAATAGACACGAAACACTGCAGGTCGAGTTACTATACAACAATTTCTGAAGATTTCGAAAATTCAATATTGACGTCTGAATCGCAATCCGTAAAATCCTAGGTACGCGAGGGACCTAATTATTAGTATCGGAGAGCTCGGACTCGGTGGGAGCGTCACCTGAGAAACCAACAAAGCTAAGGCTACAATTTTCATTTTACCCCTAGAACAAAAAGGAAAAACACTTGCAAGAGGGAAAGACGGTGAGGAACTCTTATCGATCACATGCAAAAAGGCGTTTTCAGGTATCAATCGATGTTTCCTGATCAACAGTTCAACTGTGACTTCTCTCTTTTCTTTTTCTCGGTTTCCTCCGAGATCTCCCCCCGCTCTTTTCTTCTTTCCTTTTTGTTTTGCTTTTTTCTTTCCTTTTCTCTGCGCTCTCACTTCACTTTAAAATTCACAAAAGGGAGGAGCTCATTTTGCATTATTGGGGTGAGGAGCTGACTTGAGCCTTACCATGGGCTTTTGTGCAGTTTTTTTTTTTTTTTTGAAGTACAATTATTACATGTGTTGTAAGGATCTGGGTAGATGAGGCTTTGAAGAGGAAGAGTGAAAATAATCTTGGTTGCATTTGTTGTCTGCTTTCAATCACATCCTCCACCCAACTCATCGCGCCACGCTCAAGAGTTCATAGGAGCTTTTCGGCTGAAGGTTTGAGAGAACTTCAGAGCTACTTAGATAGCTTGGCTGATCAAGGAGATAGAGACTATAACGAGGTTTTTGTCGGTTCTCTGTCCTCATATACTTGATCGAGATAAAGTCTTGCTTAGGTGGTCATAATTTTGGAGTTACAAACTGTACTATATGCGGCATATTGTCAGCAGCACTTTTCATTTTTGTAGAGATCTGCTCGAGTTCCGATTGTCATTCTTGGCTGCTCGATGATAACGTCTTCGGTATTTTCTTCTTGGTTTGTACATTTAATTGTGCATATTGGTAGATTTACTCCGTATGAAAGATTTCACTGGAGGTAACAACTATCAAAATGGGTGCTTCGATTATCATACGGTATTCACTGAATGCCTTAGAGTTGCAACACTTCCGTTTGGGATGCTGTTTAATCTACCTTCAAGGATCTGCAACTTGTAAACTTGTTTCACCTGATGTAAGTGCTATGGCATCTGACAAGCTTTATCCCCAGAATTAAGCATGAGAGCATAAGTTCAATAATTATTCGATAAATTCTGAAGAACTCATATATATGTGCGCGCGCGCGCGTTTTTAACTTTGATGTACGACCATTTTTCGCAGAAGCAGGAAGACGAGTGTTGCAACTTATTTGTCAAATTGCTTGAAGTAGTCTTATGGTTACACTTTCCTATATGACTTTACAAAATTATATTCGACTTTCTTCAATAAAACTTTTGATCCACACAAATATCTGAAGGGTTCATCAACGGTAAAACGCAGCGGAATATATAGAACCCTAGACAGGATCCATGCGTATATTGAAATCGAGACAAAAGTTCGATACGTACCTTTTGCAAATCGAACGTAAATTGACAATTGATTGTGTCTGGATTAGCACCCCAAGTATTGCGCCTCTACCGGTATCCACACACGCGAACGGAATTCTCCAACAATCCACGTGCTAGCGAAAGATCTTGAAGTTCTTTTTTCTTGAACGCCTTTTGATTTTCGATACTTCGTCGAAAAACCCCTAGACAGAGAATGATTCTCTATCTATTTATACAGCCTCATTATCCAGCAGAATTAAAAGAAGTGGGCCAGGCGATTTGGGCCCGCCAAACCGTCCACTTTCAATTGTACGTTTAATCGTTATCTCATAACGCGTACGACCACATAGATAATTTAAATAAGAGAATAAATTAAAATCTACTTCTTATTTTAAGTAGATCCCGGCGCACAGAAAATATTAACTCAATTCGCTTTTGTGTGCGACCCCGTAATTTCACTAAACATTAGCAGTGTGCTCAAAACTCTTTTTGGCCCACAAGTCATAAGCGGTCTCTAGCAAGACATTATGACTATCTAAGTATAGTGAAGGTCGATTTTCCGACACAACCTAATCCACAACTAATATTAGAGTATCAACCTTGATTGATTCCTAGGGCAGACCACTAACAATATCTTGTAACAATTTCTCTCCATCTCCCGTTGTGCTGTCATCACCTCTTCTGGAAGTTGAATGCTCTGATTGAGAAGGCAAAGATGAATCCAAAGAGGAGAGCGAAGCCGACCAGCATGATTGCAACCACTCCCAAGAAGTCATGCCTGAACCCAAAATAACTCCTCACGAACTCTTCCACTATCTCGCCAGTGTCAAGCCTGGTCTTAATATCTCCAAACTGTGAGGCCAACAGTCCATACAATGTCCAAGAAAGGGGACAAGCCCAGTAATACCATCTCCACCAGATAGGAATTCTCTGTTGAACAAAAATATTAGCTCCTCAGATATTTTTCATTGTTTTTCCATTTTAGTTTCAGTGAAGATATCGATTAACTTACTGTTCGAGGAACGATGAATCCTGAGAATAGGTTCCAAATCGCTAAGAATGCAGAAGAGGTTATGGCAGCTATGTTGTGGTTGGGCGTGACCGCCACGTTCATCATCCCATAGTAAGTGAAGTACAACAAGCTGAAGAACATATAGAAGATGTACCAAAAGAACTTGCTGGCGGTCCATTCGAACCCGATCATTGAATAGACAATCACTCCATAGATGACAGTTTGGAGGAAGATGTAGGGAATCTCGATGATAACCTGTGCAAAACAATTTTGTCAAACAACATGATGGATTCTCTCAAGACTCTTTACGAATGCTTCTTGAAGTCATTTCCTAGTTTCCAATGAACTACCTAAGTCTAATAATTTCACTTAGATGTGAAAGTGAAGCATGTCCTAACCTGTGCAAAGGCATAGGGCAGAGCGGAATACATTCCAGCCCCTCTCTCTCGATAGAAGACCGTCCTCTCAATAGCCACAACAGGTTGAACCGAAGTTGAATTCTGAAATCCGATGAAAAGGCAAGCTGCGTACATAGAGCCCATTGCGTTGAAGAGATCTTGCCGGCTTCTCCTGCAAGTGCCACAAGTTTTGAGCAAATAATGTCCATAACTGAGCCAGTGTACTTATTTTTCCAAGTCCAATTCCACTGTGTTTCGCAGCCAAAAAAAAGAGTAGAACTTGTTTATCTGTGAATATGGATTTCTGTCAATTACCTTTTGGAGCCGAGGTTCCAAAATATCGTGCCGAACATCAGAGCGATGAAAATTGTGAATAGAAGTCTCACGGCTGTGTATGCCGGGTTGCGCCAATATGACCAGTGTTGTTTCCATAGGCAAGCCATACACTGGGTGAAAAACGATTGTGAATATTGCGTTGGAAAATAGAGATCTTTTGACCCTGGTGGAGGTGTACTTAGCTCGTTGATCAGAGCTTTGTTTCTCCTGTTTTAATCGTTGAAGAAAGCAAGACATGTAAAAGTTCAGCTACTAGGCTTTCTTAGCTCCACTTTTCAATCTTCAACTTTATGATAATGTCTTTGAGCTTCTCGAGCTGAAAAACGAAAATTATTCTGCTCCTGAAAAGTTACTTCTTACCTAAACAGTTCCGAATTCCTGTAGACTTCAGTGAAGTTAACCCCGAGGATTTCTTCTTGAGCAGCCGTTGTCACCTCCAACATCCAAGTCGCTGGATTGTATCCGTCTTTAATTGTTGGAATTCCGCTAATGCCCTTTGATTCGGACGCATGTAGTGTTAGCGTTTAAAGCTCAATGTAATCAAAACTCAGTTTCTTACTGCGCAGCAGTGAGCTCACCTCAAAATAGTTGATCAGGTGCGAGGAATGCTGGCCTAATGGACCGACATAGATCTCCTCTCCGCCTCTTTTCAGAAGAAACAGCTGCATATCAATAAGGAAAATCTCTCAGATACTTCGTTGTGTGGAAAGACAAAAGCAAACAGATAGCTCAGTCCCTCATGAAAATTTGTGTCGAACCTCATCAAAAGCATCAAATATATCGATGCTTGGCTGGTGGATGGTGCAAACGACAGTTCGCCCTGTGTCAACTGTGTTTCTAACCGTTCTCATTACTATAGCAGCTGCCCTGGCATCGAGGCCAGAGGTAGGCTCGTCCATGAATATGATGGACGGGTTGGCTACGAGCTCCACTGCAATTGTCAGCCTTTTCCTCTGCTCGGTGGAGAGGCCATTCACACCAGGCAACCCAACTAGCGCTTCTCGTAATGGGGTAAGCTCTACAAGCTCCATCACTTCTTCAATGAACATCTGTAGATGTTGGATCAATTTCTAGTTAGCGCTCTATTGCTGGGAGGGACTCGAAGGCAGCAAAGTTTTAAGCTGTCTAAAATGTTTACGAGCTGTGGTTATCCTTTGAGAGATGCCAAAAATTCTTTCGGTCTATGTGGTGAACAATGTAATCCATGAGAAAAATTCCGTCTGGTGTAGCTTTTCGAGAAAACAAAACTGTCTTTTGAAAGATTTGTAATGTATCTCTTTCTACTGATAAAAATGTAGAATTCACCTAAGATGGATGTCATAAAACTAAAGGATCAAGTAAATCTCTACCTTCCTAGTCTCAGATTCCACTTCAGGAGGTAACCGAAGCCATGCAGAATACACCAAGGACTCGTAAACTGTGACATGAGGAGAGTGGATATCGGTTTGTTCACAGTATCCCGATATGCGAGCGAATGTTTCTTGTTTCTTTGGGTACCCAGATATTGTGATTGTCCCGTCGATGTATCCACCTGTTTTCCTTCCAGCCAACACGTCCATCAGAGTGGTCTTTCCAGCGCCGCTGACACCCATTAAAGCTGTCAATACTCCTGGCCTAAAAGCACCACTAACTCCCTTTAGAAGTTCCAGCCGATCTTCAGGAATACCTTGAGCTTTCATTTCCTGATAACGAGAAAATTTTCAGCACATCTGAAAGTTCTGCACCTCAGTTCAATTGTCAGAACCAAAGAATCTTCCGAGCAAACAGTACCTGGGGCATGTCTATGGCGTATCTGATATCATCAAAAGCTATAGAAAGCGAATCGAAAGGAAGAACCATTCCTCGTTTCCTATTCGGGTCCGAATCATTTATGCTCCCAACTCTCGTAGACAATGATCTCGATGTGGCACTTCTTTGGCGTCCACTCTCTTTTTCTGTATTATCACGATAGTGATCCTTTGGCTTAAGTTATACTTCTAAAGAAAAAAGAATACAAGATATGTGGGTTCTGTGGCTCACCAGATGAACTCCTCTGGCTCCCTCTTGATGATAGCTCAATGACCTCTCCGTTCTTGCTCGCAATTTTCTCTGCCAGAGTCTCTTTTGATAGTACAGCTTGAGGCTTCCCAAATGCTGCAGCAAAATGTAAGTAATTCACCAGAACTGTACACCGAATCCCGAAAAAAAATAAAGAACCTTCTGAAGAGAGACTTACGGTCGAGATATTTCAAAGCCACGGTGAACAGGAAATTAAACAGAAACATGTATCCAATCAAAGCTCCTACTCCGATCCAATACCAACGTGCTTCGGGAAAAATTCCACGGGACTTCAGGACCAAAACTCCTAAAGGCTCTGTGGCATTAGGAGGAATCTATACCACAAAGGTTCCGAACCTTCATCAGTTGATATTATAACAATTTTACCTTTATTAATTCTTTGCGTAGTCTTAATGACAGTTTCATAAGAAAGTACTTACATGTCTCCATTGCTTTCCGAGAAATTCATTTACAGCGATAGCATTCTGTCCATACATCATTGGGGAGAACCAATAACCCCATATCCACCATGGCTTAACATCATCTGATTTCAAACAATATCACATCAGGAAATTGCATATGTGAGTGCAAATCAAAAGAAGAATTATTTAGACGTCTGGTTGACCTCTTGCTATGATGAATCCGCCCAAGACCATAACGGTAAGTAATCCAAACGACCCAAAAGTGTTTGCCACAATCACGTTCCTTCCTACTGCCCCGATGAATCGGAATAAACCAGAAGCCATCTGATGTAGGCATAGGAGAAGAAAATACTGTTTGAAGAACCTGGTAGCAAAGCTTTTATTAGTATCTGAAGTGTTGGAGCGAAGTCTGGAATTATTGAATAAGTAATTTGATCAACCTTCCAGCATAAGGGTCAAAGCCGATGACATAGTATGTCAAGACTACCCAAACAGCAACTTCTACAAGAGAGATCGGGATCTTCAGGATCCACGTGGGTAGCGCATATGTCCATGCAGGAAAGAAGAGGAAGTCTCTCTGCTTGTAGAAGACGGGGAGCTTCATGATGGACATGGCAAGCTCCGAGAACCCATTGAACATTATCATGATCAGAGTGAAGAAGAGAGCCCCAAAATAAATCCCACCATCTATCACTGTATCTCGGTGCATCTCTGTCCGTAGGAACACCGTCATGGTTATGAAAGCCATAAAAATAAGCTGATATGCATCAGAAAAAGGACGTATTAGGATATCACAAATGTAATTGACAGATCAAATGCATCACTTTGTCAGGATTGCAGACTAAACTAGGAAAACGAGTACTTCAACTTGCTCACCTGAGACATTTTGAAAATATAGACGAAGGAGTTTCTCTTCATCAGCAAAAATTCCCTCGAAACGCAAGCTCTCAATAGTTCTTTCTGGCTCACCCCGTACTTCTTAGTTGTTAGAGCAGCTGGATGGCCTTTTGACTTGTCGAATGGGATCGCAAGCTGGTCACCTAGTTTCCGACCAATGTGAAATGACTGCAACGATTCGGAAAATTCTTTGACGGTTACAAACCTATAAGGTGTGTCCTTATTCGCCCAATACTGCTCTTGATCTTTCCTTGAAGTCACCTGCAGATCAAATTACAGAAGATCAAAGTGAATGGGTCAATTGTCACTTATAGAGCAAAAAAAAAACAAACCAATTGACATGTGATTTGAAATATTACTTCTTGCAAGAAATCAGCTACTCCTTTCCTTTCAGGACATTTAAAACCCATGTGTTCGAAGAACTCTAGCACATTTTCTCGGGGACCTTGGTACACAATTTGCCCATCCGAGAGAAGGATGATATCATCAAACAGGTCGTAAGTTTCTGGTGCAGGCTGGAGTAGGGATATTAGAGCAGTCCCACTGAGGATGTGTATGGACTGTCTGAGTGAGTTCACTATTTGGAATGTTGTCGAACTATCCAAGCCGGTCGATATTTCGTCCATAAAGAGAGCTTTGGCTGGCCCGACTAGCATCTCCCCTGTTTTATATCAACATGAAATTAAAGAAAATCAACCTTGAGTTGATAAATAAAGTGATCGCAGTCATCTAACAACATGGGATTCTAAAGTGGCCTCCTGAGTCTTACCCGTTGTGACTCGTTTCTTTTGTCCACCGGAGATGCCTCTTATCATTTCATCTCCCATCATCGTGTCGGCGCAGATTTCAAGTCCCAAAATCTAAAATTAAGCATTGCAAAAAGAGCAGAAATTTTAAGTCTGTTTTCTCCTTTTTTTCATGGCAAAAATAGAAGAATGGACTAATGGAGTTTTGACGTTCTTGATTATACCTTGAGTATATAATCGGTAACAACAGTAGTTTCCTGTCCTTCCAGTGCTGATGCCTGCAGAAGATTAAGGTCAATAGATGCACTTACAGGCATTAATAAATGTTTTTGACCGTGTTTTGCAGAGAAACGAAAGTACATTAATGAAAAATCTGCAATCAGAAAGTTGTTCCACCGTTAATTAGTGTGATCATTTCTCACCTTCATAAATAAATCTATGTCAGGATCGGGTTTGATATTTGCCTCCTTCTCTCTTCTCGATAACTCTGCTAGCATCTCTGAAATACAGTGGTAGTATTGTACCTCTTAATCCTTGCTTTTTTTAGAGTTCATCCTTCAAATTATAATAACGCAGAAAAATAGCCCGAACTCACCATAACGTGGTCCGACACCTTGACACCTGGCCGAGAAAGCCAGAGTTTCCCTAACAGTCATTTCTCCTATATGGAGATCATATTGACTTATATAAGCCGATGTCCTCTGCGGTACAAATTCTTTCATCCCGTGTCCGTTGTAGGTGACTCTTCCTGAGGACTGAGATTCACAAGCTCTTTGTGTGACTTACACACTAAAGACTACTAAAGTAAGACAGCTCTAAAAGTACTTTCTTTATGCTTACTTTCAAATCTTTGCCGAGCTTCCCAGCTAATGCTAGAAGTAACGTGGTCTTTCCAGAGCCCGGGGGCCCTAGAAGTAATGTCATTCTGCAAAAGAGAAATATAAATTGTCAGCAATATCAGAACTTCACTTCTCGAGCATTGTGTACTGATAAAAATCTCTCTCTTCTCACCTGCGAGGCTTGATGATTCCACTGACATCGCTGAGGATCGGTAATGGTTTCTTTCTACTAGGAAGGATGTAAAAAGAGTTGAGAAACCCCTGTTGACATTGATTAACAAGAGACGAGGTTCAGTCAATTTGAGCAGAATCAAAGAAAATGTAGATATGTTATGAATGGAGTGTTAAATTACCTCAAGTATGTTAACACAGAAATTGAATATTGTGGGTAGAGCTCGGCCCCCAACATAAGCTTCTGCCTCGATATTTAGATGCTCGAATCGGACTTCAATTGTAGGAAAATCCAGTCCAACTCTGTTTGTAATACAGCAGAGTAAACAGAGACCTTATAAAAATTTATCTTGAAACTTTTAGCTCAGAGAAGAAATACCATTTCCCAGATCGAATCTTTTTCACAGGGTAAAAAAATATCAAACCACTTTCACATGCTCTTAAGAAATATTGCAGTGACCAACTAATTGAATGTCTGAAATGCTTATGAAAAGTCATCAGCATGTACCTCTCAATCCTCTGCTTCAGCTTTAACAAGAACTTCTCATTGTCTTCCTCAGTTGTCTTCAGCAACCTCTCCAACAGGTTCCTCCTCTCTATCAATCCGAGATTCTGGATATCAACCTCTGTTATCTTGCCTTCTTCTTCAGTGAGAATCCCCCGCCGAATTCGCAAGTATGTCGGGAGCTTTTCGAGTGCAGCCCACTTCAGAGCCTCCTCATCATCCTCATCCCGGCTAGACCTTGAGAAGATCTCCTTTCCACCTGTCCTCCATATGTTTGAACTGCTCAAACGTGCACTGCTTAGCCTTGAACTGCTCAGCCTTGCACTGCTTATTCTAAGTGCATCACCAGTGTCCATAGTCAGCCACTCAACCTACACAAATGCCTCACTGAATTATAGTTTTCATGCAAGAAGGCCCTTGTCCATGAAAATGTGCATGACTATGGCCAAGGAAGTTTGAAGCTTTTCTAGATGCTTTTGAAAGCTTCTGATGATGGTTTAACAAGAGGGAGTTGCATTTTGTGTGTATATATAGCTTGAGTAGAAGAAAAAGATGCCAAAAGGGGGTCAGAGTATTTTTTTTTCTTTCGATTTGATTCTGATTATCAAGTGGGTTTGACGCAATTGCATATATCATAGGAGGAAGGAAACAGGTCGGAGCATGTTCTTGTACTACTTTTCTTAAAAAGTAATTGCACTTTAAAAAGAAAATAGAAGTGGGAAGGAGAAGGTTGACGATTCCATGTATGTGTTGATAGCATTTCATTGCCAACCATGCCGGGACGGACGCGGGACTCAGGCCGGGACTCGGGTCGGGACGAGATAGCGTTTTAACATATAAAAGCTTTAATAGATGTAGATGTCGAAATGTCCCACATCCCTTAATAGTAGGATTTATGTGCTCTCTATACACAATTGTTCTCCCTTCACTTACCAGCTTAAGTTTTTGAGTTGGACTTTCCAACATCGTACCAGAGTCGGTTTCTACAGGATGCTATGCCATAGTATGGCAGTATTCATCTTGCGGAAGGTGAATTCCTAGTCTGAAAGTAATGCCAGCATGTACGATTTGAAAAGTAACATATGATGGTCCCCTTTGGCATGATTGTAGGTATTTATCAGTAATCTTGAAGCAACTTGATCTTTTGTGCTTGCTTGATAGTGAATGTGGGATATAATACAGATTACAGACCCGTTTATATTAGATTACTACCGACCACTTGTACTTCCACCTTGGTAATAACATTTGTTTTTGACAACCGAGGAGGACGAGGAATTGAATAGAGTTGGAAAGATTCTCCAACGAATGGCAAAAGTTTGAGAAGCACGAAATGTTGTGTACTACCTAACGTACCTTGCTTGCAACCCAAAGTAACTAGGAAGTCCTTATCCCAACTTCTTAAGAAGAGGGTCAACCCTAATAAATTTAATATATGGTGCCTCAATAAATTGATGCGTACATTGGGAACAACCAAAAGCATTATTTTTTTACTGAAGTTTCATCTACAAGATCAATGAGGGACTAGGCAGTAGGCACATGCAACGCCTCTTTATAATACAGGAAAGCTCACCTACCGCTTGTGGGTTTGTGGCATATGCAGCCGATATAAGTAAAAAGGGTGGGATGAGGCGACTGATATTGGGGACCCTCTCTAAGACCACATAAATTCTATATACGTGACGGAATGTTCGGTATGAATCAAGATTACTGTTCATTTCGAGTGAATCCGTCACCAACGGCTCACCACGACCCTAGTGGGATTACTATGTTATGGTATGGCTGAACCTACGCCACAAATGGACCAAGGCTTCCCGAGGTCGAGGAGCGATGGGGTGTTTGAACCACATAACCACGGGGACCCAATTCAATCACTTCAGTGTAAAATCCCATGTCATTAGACCAATTACTGGTGCAGTAAAAGGTTCAGTGTCTTTTTCGATAACAGATGGTGACACGAAAGTACCCCATCCACGATGTAAATTTTTACGTTCCGCGATGATCTTTTATCACATAGATAAAACTTTATTGTTATAGAAAGACATTAATGCTCTAACACATGCCGGTCTCTCAATAGATTTTTATCATCGATTTAAAGTATGTCGATTTTATCAACGGTTGAAATTTTTATCCATGATCGATTGGATTTACACCGTTGCAACGGGGTAGTTTTGAATGTCGCGCTCACACCCATCATCCGGCAAGTGAAGTCTTATCTCGATGTACGTAAACGAGCAGTTTACATGTTTTTATGAGAAGTAATCGGTTTGAAGAACATATTCCCACAAAAATACAATAAAGTAGACTATCAATACACTTGTGAATAACTAGCTATATTATTTAATTAAGAATATCTTCCTTGGAAAATCAGTGGATACTTTGATATAATATATACAAAAAGTCAGAGAGAGAGAGAACATGAGAACAAGTTCCGATGTCTTCCAATGGTTGGCATGCATTCATCACATTCCCAGATCTTGATGTATCATCAACATGCGTGGCATGATTCCATATGAATAAGTTTCAAAAACTAATGTTTGATACGAATACACTCTTTTATCTTCAAAAATGAAACGAAGAAATCTAGCTCATCATATAAAGTCAATGGCAATACATGTAGAACAAATTCACCAAATTTCATATCTGTTTATCTCATAAGGATTCGATTTGATTACGATCACTATCTTCGCATGCGATTGATTAGTCATGTTCAACGGAATGAACTTAGACAGCAACCCCCTATGTTCTTTTGATCTTGATGGGCTCTCTGTGTAAGTTGCGTTAACTAAGCTGTCTATATCTACTCTGACCTAAGCTACAATAATAGTATAAGATACGCTCGCATTTTTTTAGTATGCTTCGCAGCATAATGCGTTGCGGTCCCCTCAAAATTATCAGAAAGTCGCTTCTGGTTTCTGTTAGTGCTGTCGTATGATGATGAAGGGTTTTCTTTTTAACTAAAAGGGAGCCAAAAACGTCTGCACTTACCTCATCCAACTTCAATGATTTTCTTAATCCCTTTTCTTTTTTTTAATTTTCTGATCTTGTTCTTCGAGATGGAATGGAAACGCCCATGCGGGTTTGACTTTGCTACGTGCTCCTGGGGCGTTGAATCTGGGAGACATGCATTACATTTCGGAGGAGGGGAAGAGGAAAACAAAGGAAAGAAAGAAGGGTACATGCTCTTTTGGCTTTTGGAAATGGCTATGAACTTGTTTTGGTCGAGATTCATTTCCATTTTGAATGTTTGACTCGCCATTGAGATCTCAGCTTCTTACTTTTGGGAGATCTCTTTTGCTTCTGACTTTGCTATGTAGTCTGACTTTGCCATTTTTCAATGACATTATTTGCTTGGGTGACAAGGTTTTATGCCTGCTGTGCTTGGATTCTTTCCAGCAATTTCAGACTAATGAGATCCAAACGAAGTCAGAAAGACATTATTTGCTTGGGTGACAAGGTTTTTTGCTATGTAGTCTGACTTTGCCATTCGTGGCTTAGAAGTCCTTTCTTGCTCGTTACTCAATCTAATGAGATACAAACGAAGGGATGATTTTCTTGCTTGTTACTCAATCTAATGAGATCCAAACGAAGGGATAATTGTTGTTGCATTCATAAATTTGCTGCTGTACGATTGTTTCAATGCAGTCCTAAATCTTTGCCCAAAATTGTAAGGGAAAAGACCACAAAAAATCTCAAACTTTGCCACCTGTGACACATTTACCCAAAACTTTTTTTGTGACACCAAAAACCCCAAACTATGCTATTTATGATACATTTACCCCATTGTACTTTAGTCCATGGGCATTTTCGTCTTTTTTTGCTTTTTCTTTTTTTTTCCCTTTTTTTTTTCCTTTCCGGCGAGGGCCACCCTCGCCGGTGTCGAGCGAGGGTGGCCCTTGCCAGATCCGACGAGGGCGGCCCTCGCCGGCGTCGGGCGAGGGTCGCCTCGCCTGGGCGAGCGACGGCGGCCCTCGCCGGAGTCGGGCGAGGGCCGCCCTCGCCGGATCGGGCGAGGGCGACCCTCGCCGGCGTCGGGCGAGGGTCGCCCTCGCTCGCCCGGGCGAGGCGACCCTCAGGCGAGGGCCACCCTCGTTCGCCCAGGCGAGGCGACCCTCGCCCGAGGGCGGCCCTCGCCGGATCTGGCGAGGGCCACCCTCGCTCGACGCCGGTGAGGGCCACCCTCGCCCGACGCCGGCGAGGGCCACCCTCGCCGGAAAGGAAAAAAAAAGGGAAAAAAAAAAGAAAAAGCAAAAAAGACAAAAATGCCCATGGACTAAAGTACATTGGGGTAAATGTGTCACAAATAGCATAGTTTGGGGTTTTTGGTGTTACAAAAAAAAGTTCAGGGTAAATGTGTCACAGGTGACAAAGTTTGGGGTTTTTGGTGGTTTTTTCCCAAATTTTAATATAGTCATTCTAGCAAAATCCGGCAAAAGTTGGCTTGAAATTGTTGACGTGATGTCTAATCATTTTTTATAGTCTTACGTGTCACGGGCGGCGATATGATGCGGACAACTTAACTCGAAAAACGACTCCGTTTTACTTAATTTACTATTTTTTTCTTATCTTTTCACTGTTCATCTTCTTTTATCTACAACAATGGCAAATCATCAACCTATAATCATTTCCAACCTCTGGATCGTCATTGTTCGTCACCTTTGCTAACATTGGCGAGGATAGGGAAATTTTGAATCGTTTTCTCTCTAAGTCTGGATCACGAATAGGGAAAGTTCAAGAAAACCCGATTCGCCATGGGAAGACAAAGGCAAGGCCCAAAGGATGTGAACACTAGAGGGCTCGACCTCTGCCGCAACGTCAAGCTGAACCCCCTAGATCCGAAGGACTTGAGCTCTGTCACGGCATCGAGCTCGAGTTCCAAATTCGGATGCACAAGGACGAATCACAAAACCTGAGGTGAGCTAGTTTGGAGAAGGAGAGCACAAGGGGAAAGAAGGGCGGTAGGGGAACTTGCCTACCTGTGCAGAAAATATACTACGACAAGAGGCTAAAGGGCTCTAAAGATGTTAAAAAGTTCAACAAAAAAGTTTAAGTTAATAGGTGAAGAAAAATCACATGAATATAAAAATCATATAGGACTCATTGTCAAGGGATGCGAGACATTATCACCATCTCCCATTCTACGTGTAAGCCGGATTAGAAGCATCATGTGAAATTTAATTGATGTGAGGTGGACGCATATACGGGAAATATATAGCACTGGCTCTGACATCATATTAGAAAATCCAACCTAAAAATTTAAGCTAATAGGTGGAGGAACATGTTTAAGATGATGAACGGTTGCACGGAAAAGAAGGAAAGAAAAGAAAAAAGAAAGAAAAAAATTAATAAAAAATAAAAAGCAAAGTCATTTTGTCGATGTCAGATCGTTGGCCACAAGACCGCCATGTAAACAATTTCAGACGAGAATTGATCGGAAAGTTATATTGGAATTTCACGCAAAACGTTTAGGATCATATTAGATCAACTAAAAGGTTTTATAATTGCATTGAAGTATATACAATAGATTTAAAACTGAAATAGAAATCTTACATATGATTGATATATCCATGCACATGGCC